TTCGTTTCCCACCATAGACACCTGCGGTCCAGAGTTTTGCAAATATCTCAGCAACGTTGTGGATGCTGAGACACTTGCAAAACCCGGACTACTCGTGTTTGCGGTGGGACCGAACACGCTATTAGCCTTTCCGGGGGCTAACGCATTCATCACCACGCCATGCGGGTTCTTCGTTTTGCCTTTCTCTCGGCCGTGCCACCGTTATATCCCTTTATCTGCCTTATTGTGCAGTTTGTGACATTTCGTCGTCATAAATTCCTAAAATGTTCCTTGGTCGATAGTTTCGTCTTCGATTTCCGAATTAATACTTTCATTTAGAAGAATTTCCCCGTTGTCCTGATGGACGATGAGGGTCACAATAAACCGGTACTTCCTATCGTGCCGGAGAAATGCGGACCACCCACCATCAGTCTGAACTACTTACTGGACTTTGCGATCCAGCAAATTTACCATGAAATCACGGTGCTGTCAGAACTGTAAGTTGTTCTTTTTTTCCACTAATCTCCCTCATAACCTTCTTTTTCTTCCTCCTTTGGTGCTTGTTTCATTACGATTAGGATTGATATCACTGGTTCTGAAAGGAAAGTAATGATGAGAACAGTGACTATTCACCGGGAACTGTCAGAATAAGAATGAGAAACAACTCGGGATCAACATTTCGACCGTGTACAAATCCAGACTAGTACGAGCTTAAAACGATTACTGACACGCATCTTATTGCACTTGGACTGGAATGTTAACTGATATCTGATTGGATAGAGCTGAAGGCTACTCAGTAGAGTTTTCAAAAGAAGTGAACATCATTGTTTGAGTCCGCCACTAAAGTTGTGTGCTGAATTCTTTTTATGCCCAAATAATCGTCTGTAAGGCAAACAGTTTACTACTCTGCTTTATGATGCTATTTTGAGGCACTCTTTTTGCTTGGTGACATCACATCTGTACTGGATCGTTTTATTCTGGTTCCTTATACATTAAAAAAAAGCACAAGGTTCTCGGTGTTGATCACTCTCTGAGGGAAGCGCAATGCATTCGACTTCATTAAGTATCGACGGAGGTGATTGAATGCACATCTGGCCTTTACAGTGACTGGCGGTGTCCTTCAGACGTATAGAGCCAATGCTGCTATCCTCCCAGACAAGTGTGGTACTAGTTTGCCGACCCGAAGGGATGGATGGTTTGGTGAACCTTGGTCGCGGGGATTGATCCCATGTGTATTGCAGGGTGCTTCAGTCCACTGCACTACAAGATCCTTTTTAACACATTGTGATAGTTATTATTTATGGTCTTTGCTCAATTGTAAAAGACCAACGGATAACACACGAATTGGTTGTGCTAATCGCAAAGTTTTTATTTGACCTTTGTAGATGATAATAGCCGTGCTTTAGACTGCCAAAGAAGCTGGATGGTGACAAAAAGATTAGCTTGGTGCAGTTCGCGCACTCAACGCGAATGTTGTTCGTGAAGTTGTTGGCTGTCGTAAAGTGGGTGAAATCGTCGAAGAAGTTTGAATCTTGCGCTGTTAGTTTGGCAACTTTCAAATAGATTTTTTTTGCATTCCAAAGTCAACCTATTTTTTCTTACCTTGTTTTAGTGGTCAAATTTGCCTAATTGTTCCAGAGTCGGGCTTTTGTGTGTTTCTCCTAAATTTCCGACTCTGACGTTAACTTCTTGTACTTATCTAAATGTTTTAGTGGTTTCTATAACGATGGACTGAAAAAATGAAAACATTCTAAGTTCAATTTCGTACTGATTGGATTTGTATCCGATGTTGGTTCATTTCAAAGGCGATATGTTATCTTCTGGATCAACATTCGCAATATTTCGTGGAAACTGCGGACCGTCTAGTTGCAATATCGCGCGAAGAACTTGTGTTGGCTCGTTTACCTGCTTTTCAAATCACAGCTGCCGTCGACGTCCTGACACAGGTACGGTACATGTTACGATTTCTTTCATTTATATCGCGTACCGATTATTTCGTGTGGCGCAGCGGTCGGAGAGGCCCTGCAGTACACATGGGATCGATCATCAAGCCTTCCATCCATCCGGGATCGTCAGATTGGTACTAGGCTTGTCTGGGAGGACAGCAGCACTGGTTCGGTACATTTGTAGGCCACCGCTAGTCTTTGTAAAGGCTGTAAAGGCCAGATATGCATTCAATCACCTCCAACGTTGCTTAATGAAGTCGAATGCATGGCGTATCCCTCAGGGATTGATCAGCGCCGTGAGCTTTTATTCCTTATCCTTTTGCCGATTATTGCAGGGCACATATATGCACCTCCCTACAATAATCAAAGAGCGTTTCGTTTCGAAGCCCAAAATATCGCCAGTTGAAGAGGCTAATGTGTTGTTGCGCTTGAATCAGGTGGGTTTATCCACATAGTATCCATAGTATTCGTCTTCTTCATATTCTCCATTCTTATTTTCTTTGGGAATATTTTGACTTTCTTTATGGATCTTAATCGTTATAGTATTTATTCTAGACTGCTATTATTTCGCTTTCACATTATAATGTACATTTGCACTTTTCAGGTCCTGCAGTATCGAATATCAAAAGTTTCGTCTACGTTGTCTCCGCGCATCAAGGGTATCGTGATAAGAAATGGAATGGTGTGCTAATTTGTTACCTGTTCTATAACTATTACATCGATAGAACACTTTAATTGGTTCTATCTAGTTTTGTTTTCGCTTCTTATATCTGAACTTTTCATTTGTAGGTCTTATTTCAAAAGACTTAATTTTCGTTTTGGAAATTTTAGCATGATACTAAGTGCATTTGAAAGGACTTTTTTCAGCTCATTCTGACAGTTCCCGGTGAATTCGAAGTAAGCCTAACGGTCTTGGGTGAACGAGAGCAAACACCTTGGACATTGTTGAACATCAAAATGTTGGTCGAAGATTACGAGATTGGTTATGGAGCCCAACTGGTTCATCCTTTGCAGCTGCACATGTTGCACAGTGTGCTTCAGCATAGGATGGACATTGCAAAAAATGTTAGTTAAGGATGGTACTGCGTAGGAATCCATTAGATATGTTACATTTTTGCCTTAGATCCTTCAGGTTTTTTTTTCAGCCTATAAACGAAGTGTACAACTTTCTTCATACGTTTGCACAGTCGCTTCAACTTGATGTTCTTTTTTGCCAAGCGTCACAATTAGCTATGGGACGCCTGAGGTTGGTATCCATACGAATTATTTCCGATTGAACAGTATTTTCTTTCTCATATCTGTTTTCATTTTGATGCTTTGTTAATATTGTCTTCTAGGAACAAAATAGTCATTGAGAACTATGATCCCAAAGAGCGCGTCTTGTCTATCGGATATTGGGTTCAGCGTATTACGAAAAAAGGCTTAACTAATCACGTTAGGTTAGTCTTTAGTCATCGTTTCTCGTCATTTTAGGAACGAGGATTTCGAAAAAAAAACTTTTATTTCTCTGATTTTAAATCAATCACTTTTCTGTTTAGACTAGAACCTCAGTATCGTGTAACAATTTTTGGCGATGACGGTTGTGATACAACGTTAAATGTGCGACACCATCCAGTTGCACCCGATCTCGGCCAGCTTGATAGTCGGTCCGGGTGCGAAAATCGAACTTTTACGGCGACCGATATTACATCTGCTTACATTATGTTATTTTAATGCAGGCGCCTCTCAATTGATCGTCTATTATCGGAAACACTGGTTGTTCGCTGCCGCGAACGACTGCTTCGAATTCGAAAACGGCTTAAAGCAGCAAAACCTCTTTCAATTGTTATCTATGCCGGTAAATATACCAGTTTCACGTTCTCTTCCACTTCCATTCTTTAAGTGTTTTTTTTTTCATGTTTCAGGAGCCGTTGTTCCGTGTCTTTGGCTTCCACTTCTTCGAGATAGTGTAGAGACCCGAGAAGAATGTGTGGTTATATCAGTTAATATGTTCAGCGGGCGTGTACTTTGCAGTTTAGATGCTATAGGTACACAGATTTCATTTTAAATAACAGTTATCCTCTGAATTTTAACTTATTATTTACTGCCTACACTTTTTAACGGCAGGGTATACATTGCGAAATATAACTTCAATGATGCTGAGATAACCACAACGTTGCTGAGATATTTGCAAAACTCTGGACCGCAGGTGTCTATGGTGGGGAACGAACGCGCTATTATCCTTTCCGGGGAGTAACGCGTTCACCACCACACCATGCGGGTCCTTTGTTTCGCCTGTCTGTCAGCTATTTCTATCGATCTTTTTGCCACAGCAATCACTCATCAGCGGGGTTGATCTGGGGAGCGCAAATCGGCATAGAACCCAGTTAAGCTATGGCTGTAGTTGAAATCACAATGTTTAACGTTTTGTTTTCTGCCTTCTATAATTTTCATGGCAGGTTACTAAGCGAAATACAACCACAACGTTGCTGAGATATTTGCAAAACTCCGCGTGGTGTGGTGGTGAACGCGCTACTCCTCGGAAAGGACAATAGCGCGTTCGTTCCCCATCGCATACACCTGCGGTCCGGAGTTTCGCAAATATCTCAGCATCATTGAAGTTATCCTCTTAGTTTATCATTACCAAAGAATGCGTGAACTAACGACGTGCGAAAAGAAGGGTGTAGGGTGAAGTCAAGATCTTGCCGCTTAGAGTTGAAGTTGGCAAAATTGTGTTAACTGGGTATAACGTCAAATCACGATGTGCCACTTCGAGCTTGCAACACAACCTCATGCTTGAGCAAGTAGACTTTTATGCAAGCAATATTTACATTTGCATGACAACGGCCTCTATAGAAGTCGTAGGATGTGAAAATAGTGGCCGCATTCTATATTCAATCAGCATATCTCAGCTGTTAGTGAGTTCTATTAATTCCAACAAGAACTATTTTATTCCTCAAAGCTTTGCCTATAAGATTGAAATTCTTATTTTAGCACGGTAAACCTTGACTTTCTAAAGCCAAAGACAGAGTTGAAGTTTGAAATATTTCTCCCAATTTGTTGCTTCACGACTATTTTTCAAACGCGAAAGCAATGCGAGACATCGTTCAGCAGAACACTGCGGTGTTCTATAATGTATGGTCTATGTTTGCAGCTGCCGCTGTTTCTCTGGGATTTTCAAAAATTAAGACTTCGTTGCCGTTTTCTTCTTGGAAGTTTTAGTTCGATTGGATTTGTAAAAACACGGTGTAAAGGATATACCTAAGATAAATATCTAAGTGTAATGAAGGAATCTTTTCCAAAGGTCTTTGAAGTACTGAACACCTGAAATTAGAACAGTAATAGCAACGATTTCGTCAAATATACACATAAACAGCATAAGTGGTAGTGTGGTCAATAGCCAAAAATGATAGAAAGAGTGAGGAAGAGTACATGTTTAGGTGTTATAGTGCGAAGAAGCGAATGGGGTCTCGTAGATCGCCATCTGTTAAAAACCGTACTTGGCTGGAACGTATGGTGATCCCTACATATCCTCTGAAGTTACTGCTAGAAGAGATTTGAAGTATTTCTGCCCAAAAAGTTTCTGTAGTGAACGAAACTTGTTGCACTTGTGAAAATGTACGATAGGAAATACTTGCTACCTATGGTCTTGAGCAGTCCACGTTGCATGGGTGCGACAATTTCGTAATTCCTGGAAGCAAGAATAAATAATATCAATAATAATATTTAGCGTAAGAAGCATGTGGTAAAATGAGAAAATGGATAATATTTACGGGGAGATTATCTCTGAGCGAGTGTGAGATATAATGAAGTTGCGCTTTCATACACAGTTGGTCTCTAGGTTGACAATTGGCCATGGCAAAACGAATTCTTCAACGTTGAAAGTACGTCGATTGCTAGAAGATCCTTCTACGAAAGTTGGCAAGCTGGATTAAACACATCTGGTTCATTTATTCGTTCGTGCAACTCGTAGTTTAGGGAATGATGCCCGAGCTGGTTTTTCGACAATTGAGGACGATTTCTGGATAAGCCCAGTGTTTGGGTTAAAAATTGCGTACATTTATGGAAGTTTTGCTCTATTGTCTTTAGGGTATATGTTTTCTATTAGACAATCTTTCAATTTCATCTCTATTTAGAATTGGGATGTTGAGGAAACTAGGGAAAGAATCTATATTTTTAAAACTTCCAGTGTAGGGACCGAAAACAGGAGATACATTGGAAAAGTCGTTATATCTTGCTGGACGAAATTCCGGTTAATAATTCGAAAGACCGACTTCTAGTAAACTTAGCCACAAATAATTATTTTGTATCTTACAAACTATCCTCCTCACTAAGCTAGTGCTAGGTTGTTACCATGCCTTGAAACATGATTAGTGGCGTTTCAGTGATTTATTCACGTTCTCTCTTTAAAGAAAAAATTGCGGTAGGGAAGCCGAACACTTTGTAAGATATTCCGGTTGTTCATTCGCTTTTCATTCGCTGGTTGACATGATATTGGCATTTAAAACTTTTATTCGGTCAACGTTAGCGGCTGCTTCACCTTCATGAAAGCCCTGTTTGTTTAGTAGTTCTTGTCCCGACTGGCACAGTTTTATACGAGCTGAGACATGTCAGCTTAAATTGGAAGCGGTAATTATTCCTAGATAGTGTAGTGCGGGCTTTATGGGTCAGTTCAAACTCCTTTAAAGGAGCGAATTCGTGAATGAACTAGAAGTGGCAATTATCTGTGTAATGTTGACCAAAGTGGTGAATTCATCCTTTCTTATGAATTCCAGAGTTTCTTCCTGGTTCTGCTGCGGAGCTCAAAGAATTTGAGACAGTTCTATACAATGGGCAGTCTATAGATTCTCTGCGTAAACGAATTGATCGACTGAAGTAAGTAACGGTTGTGTTGTGGGAATGGTTCTTTTTTCTTAGGTCTTGACTTTTTCTAACTCTTTTTAGAGTACTGCTGATGATCGAGAGATATCGAAGATCTGTTGCAACACTTCAAGTGCGTATAATCAATGAAAATCAAATGGCACCCTTCTTTAAGAAGGTTTGTTTGATCTGAGATCTGTTTCGCTCTTCGAATTTTTTTTTTTGAAACAGTTTCTTCAATAGGTTCATTCTCTCCCGGCTGATCGTATTTGTTTGCAATTTATCAAAGAGGAGCACTTCTATTTGGTACGTTGTTTTCATACGAATAATTTTTCTTAAGCTAAATGACTTCCTTTTAGGTGGTTGCATTTGTTTCCAATGAAAATCTCACTGTTAAAACGAGTTTCTACTTATTATGTACGCTGGATGATAAAGTACAAATGATGGAACTGAATAGAGTACGATTTTTCTACACTTTTTTCTTCGTGACTTTTTTTGAGAGTCTTCTAGTTTTTGCTATGCAAATGTTTCATGTTTATCCCGTAGAAATTGTTTTGCAGGAGAAGCAACTTATTTCGGCACCAATTGACGAAGTGGTAGACAAAGAAGCAAAAGCGTTCGGTCGATTCGAGAACGATGACGTGTGGACACCTAATGTGAAAGTAGGTGGCATCGCGAGGAATTTCGTGATGTGTTCTGATTTTATTTTTGTGAATTCAAAATGGTTCGCCAAATGATTATTACTAAAAGCAAACATCTTATGAAATATTTCTTAAAGATAGTATAAATAGTAAAGGGCGCGTTTGGCGCAATTGTCCGAGGCACCCTGCATTGCACAAGGAATTCATTCCCGCGCCTTTGGCCTACTAAGCCTTTCATCCTTCCAGAGTCAGCAAATTGGTATCATACTTACGCTGGGAAGATAGCAGCACTGGATCAATACATTGGTAGGCCATGGCGAGTCATTGTAAAGGCCAAATATTCAATCACTTCCAAGCGATGCTTAATGAAGTTTAATGTATGACGCATCCCTAGATGATAAATTAACGCCAAAAGCTTTATCCTTTGTCTTTTTATAGTGTGGAAGGTACAAGGAGGCAGACATATGCTTTTACTGACAAAATAGCAGCTGCTAGTCAGTCGAGTTTACAATTTACCAGTTAGATTATAGCAGTATCCGTTTGTACGCTTACCGAGATATATCAACAGAAATCTGAATGTCGCCATCAAAACTGATGTCACTTCGCTATCCCACTGTGTGCACAATGTTTATACGCTTTCATCCAGCGAGCGCTTTACTGAGAATAACCGGCGTCATTACGGGAATCGACGTTCTACGTTGCCGTGCGTAGCCTTCATATATCACATATTGTAACTGGATCTGGAAAATGGATAATAATTGAATTCTTGGACGAGTTTTTATCACGAGTGCTACCAGAGCTCATTTCCTACTCGTTTCTTTGACTGTCGTTCGTCGACCATGGTAGCTCTTTCCTTCGAGTATAGTGTTTAGGTGTATGGTCGTGATTTTCAGTTTCTTTGCAGCACCAATGAATGATTTTGGCTACTTTCTTTTAGCTAAAACTTATCCACCCACTTTGCAGTTAGTCGTCCTTGATGGTTGCCGCATCTTCTTGTTCTTTATCTTAGTTCTGCATTGATCCATCGTCGATTCCTATGTTTAGATGACGGACCTACCTGACTTCCTTTTCCACGTTTACTATCTTGGTTCTCGAAGATGTGGTATGTCAGTTACAAATTTCAAAACGCATCTTTAAGCGGTGAATATGTATTTTAGGCATGGTTAAGGTTTAAGCTTACTACTTGACATGAGAGTGCTGCGAGAATCGTTGAGTCAGAAAGACGCGAGCAGTTTTGAGTCCTTCATGTTGTTTTCCGTATTGTGGAAGGCCAAGTATATACATAGGATTTAGCCTGTGTTATCAAGAAACCACCTAGTTTGATTTAGTGGATCTGGTGGCCTTCAGGCTATATGTTTTTAGTAATTGGATGATACGTGAATCCAAACATCAGTGTACTGCTTTTGGTGAATTGCCGAATCCAGTGCCCGATATTCGCGCAGTTCTTTTGAGTCATCTGTGAAGGTGCGAGAAACCTTTTGCAGCCAGTTAATTTCCTATGCAGTGACAACGTCTCATCATCTTGCAAGGTTACTAGCATTTTACAAGTGGAACTTGAGCTCGTTTTCATCCGACACGTTTTTGCTCGTTCAAACGTTCTTAAGTGGGAATCTGTTTTGCTTCAGGCATACTTTTAAGTATAGATGTTGCTTTTTCCGGTCTCCTATAAAATAACCAGGGGATGAAAAGCTTTGACGAGCATTATTAAGTCAAATTCGAAGTCGACGAGATCTTAAGCGTCATTCTGGAGCATCAGAAACTTCTGAAAATTTGAGGATTCATGATAGAGATAGTGATATTAGTGCATATTGACTTTTTAGATCAATACAAACATCTGTACGTTGACTTATAATTTATACCCATTGACGTTCATTCGTCATCCACTCGATGACTAGGGCTGCAACTTGAGGGCTTTTTTTGTGTCTCATTGAAAGGTAATTGAGCTTGACTTTACATGAGATCCTGGCATACTTCAGCTACAATGTGGTTCGGCTATATACTTCACTTCCTGAGACACCGAACTTTCTAAATCGACAGTTTTTCTTAGGCGAGTCCGTTACAGACTTGTCGACCATGAGAAGGTCAATGGCATATGTATATCAAGTTCTTGTGTAACACTCGATCTCTTTTTTTTATATTGTAGTAGTTCATATTTACTGCCACGATAGTTGCTCCCCAATGTTATTCAATCCACGTTTCTCCAGTCCTGATGTTTTATTGCTTTAAAAATAGTTTTATTAGCTAATTTCAGTTTAACCGCTTGGGACCGTCTATGGTAAGGCAGTTGACTACTGCTGTGGCTGCTGTTGATGACCGCATATCGTTTATGCGTGTGTGTGAAGAACTGGATAAAAAACGGATCGGTTACCGTAGCGTCGAAGAGGAACCACACGTTGGTGGATTGATTTTGCATATAACAGAGTTAGTACCTTCTCTTATAATGTAAATTTCTGTGTTTCTCTTTATATATAAATGTTCTACTTTCCACCTTTAGTGTTTCGGCCGTAGTTGATGTACGCTGTGCAGCATTTCTGCGTAACATGGCAAGATGTTGTCTTCGCCTTGACAGCAGAACTCGAGTGGTTTGGCCTCTCGAGTGTTGTATGGTGAACATCCCGCTTGTACGTGATCTCAGTCCTTACAGGAAAGGACGCAAGGTTATTTCGTTTTACCTTTTTTCCATTTGTGAGCCATACAGAACCCAAAAAATACTTTCAATTCCAAATCAATGAGGTGAATAGTGTGGATGGGAATGCTTTCCGTTTTCTTTTTGAGAATTTTTTTATTACCATTGCTCATCCACGGGTCTCCCTTGTACGGGGCCTCCTGCCTGTTAGTCGTCGAGGCAACGTGGTGCGTCTCAATGTGGGGATAGGGGGTTAATCGCGGACCAAACCTTTGCTTCCCTGATACGCAGGTGGATTTACGAGATCGACTCTGTTTCTGCTGCGCCGATTTGTTTATGAGCACGTATTCATTCATACGTGAGTGAGTGTGTCCTTGTCCACGCGGACTGTATTCTACGAGTCACTTCGGCCAGAATCCTACAAACAAGTAACTAAAGTAAAGTAAGTAGGCAAGTAAAGTAAACGAGCATCATTTATCAGACCTCGAAAGAACCCTCGATACGGAAGCATTGGGTAGAACGACTAGGGAAGGCTGCTAAAATCTCAGGGCTACTGTAGGCTGCGTAGATCTGGAACGACTAAGGTGACAATTCGTACCTGTAGCGAATAATTCACTTGTATCTCAGGCCTCTATTAAAGACCTGGTTATCCAAACCAAAAGAATTAGTTACGACGTCGTTGTTCTGGCTGACACCAGAAGACGCCGTCTGTAGTACCGCAGAACTTCCTCGGAACATGAAACAAAAGAGGAGTGGATGGCGTCGGCGTTCTGGTCAACATAAGTTTGGCGTTGTACATCAATTCATTCGAACAACCACACACCCACATAAAGCTATGACGAAAACGAAGTCCAACCGATTTATATGGACTTGGATAAGTTCTACAGAGAAGCCACACATTCTTTAAGGTCATCATTGCACAGTTTAACGCAAAGATAGAACCCAAGGGAACACCTGAAGAACGTCACATTGGGACTCATGGATTAGAATGGAACGAACTGGGTGCGCGACTATCAGAGTTTATAATGGCAACCAAGACCATCTATGGTAACTCGCAATTCCAGAAGCCCCACCCTCAACGCTGGACGTGGGAGTCTCCCAATGGAGAGTACCATAACGAAGTAGACCATATCATTGTGAATCAAAGACCTAACTGACGTCGTTGTCCCAAAATTCTACACGGATCAGACCACCGTATCGTTCGTGCAAGATTCCATTTTCTCGTGGAAAGGAGAAAAAGCCAGCATATTCGAAAACGAAGTCCCAAAACAACCATAAACTGCGACTTAATCATTTCATTAGTCGGCTGTTGGGAAGATGCCGTTGTCGATAACGCCGACGAGGAATATGATCGACTCATTCAACATCTTCACGTTAGCGCTGTGAAAGCTGAGAGTTCTAAAGTCACCAAGAGACGTTTGTCTCCAGACACCCTCGAGATGATACGCCAGCGTGGAATCGCACGAGCTGCAGGTAACCGCAAACTAACATCAGAATTTGCAAAACAGTGAGGACAGGTGATTAAAGAAGATCTTAAGGAGCGAAGAGTAGCAGTAATGGTTGAAGCTGCAGAGGCTGGGAAAAGCATTCACAAAGGCCACTGAAGCTTTGTCAATTACAAGACCAAGATGATTGCACTCCGACGTGCAGACGGAACAGTTACAGCATCCGAAAAGGGAATGGAATAAATCATTCACGAATACTACCCAGATATCTTCGATGGCCACGTCCTCCTGCTTTCATATGAAACAAAGGAGGATGGATATGTCGTACCACTCGTCCTCCCTTCCGAAATCCGACATACTATTTCGCCGGTGTAAAATCGAACAGCATCAGGTCCGGACAGGATAAAGTCCAAACACCTGAAGAACCTTCCGCCGGTCCTCGTAAATACATTGTGCTCGGCGATTCACACGTCACATTACCTTTTTGAATGCAAGGTCCCTACTCAGTGGAAGACCAGCAAGTCTATACTATTGTTCATGAAGAGTGACCTCCACGATATTGGCAACTATCGTCCAATCTGTTTGCTGTCTGTTGTCTACAAAATTTTCATTCGAATCATCCTCAACAGGATTGACAGAACACTGAGCGAAAAACAGCCATGTGAGCAGGCAGAGTTTCGTAAAAAATGCAGTCCGATGAACCACATCAACGCAGAACAAGACATTCAAGTATTGTGAAAGTAGAAGAGACTGCTCACTCTTACTTCCTTTGATATAAGGGAAGCTTTTGACGTAGTCTACCTCCTTCCACTCCAATATTGTTGAAGCCATCAAAAAGGAAATGAAGTTCGCTCTAAATATTCTGTTGTTAATTATTGCCAACTTTTTATTTTCTGGCCGCTATGACTTTTCACGGCAAGGTATAATGTTAAATACAACCACAGCGATGGTGAGATGTTCGCCAGACTTGGACCACGGAGCAGATCGGACCACAATTACCCTTTCCGTGGTCTAGCGTGTTAGATACTGCTCCACGGAGCCCCTTGTTCCGTGTTTCCACATAATGTTAATTCTAAATTACTCAAAGTCTCGTTTGCCGTATTTCAGAAATGTAATCTACAACTCAGTTCCAATACTTTTAGGAAAGTATTATATAACAATGAATTGCTTCCGTGAGCTGTTTTTAAATTCAGATTGGTGTATGGGTACATGAGCAGACGGGTATCAATGCTGGTGGACCCACGGACACTATTGCAACGTCAATTATTGAGCGGTTAACCCGCTACTCGCACATTTACGACACTGTTAATAGATTCGCAAAGGCTTATGATGCACATTACAATAAGCTCTGCAGTGTTTGTTTAATTCCATGTTTATCTCAAGATTCTTTCACTATAAAAGCCCAAAAGAGCAAATTTTTAGTAGTTCTTGTCTAGGTCCAAGCGTATACATTCCACAAACTTGTAATTGCATATGGTCGTGAACGAGATCAACAACTCATTGTATCATTCCGTCCTCGAAGCGCTTTGAATGAACGGTTCAATCTTAATTTTGGGCAGGTTGGAAACAAAAATGTGGTTTATATTTTTGTTGTTTCCTTCCAATATTTTTTTAGACTCTACCAATTTCTGTGTATGACTCACCTGAAGTTAACTTGCAAGAAGCCACTCGCTGGAATGCTCACTGTATGATGACTACAATTCTAAAGGAGAAGTACGATGGGCTTTCTATCGATGAGTGATGATGCAGTAGACAATGTTTCACAACATTCAGCTTCAACTCGAAGTCAGATCTTACCGAACTCGTGCACTATTTGGTTACGACAAGCGAGCCGTTGCAGTCGCTATCATTTTTTTCTCGAATTCGCTTCCATTCATCGAAAGTTTTAGCGCAGTTATTCAATGTGGATATACCATATCCACTCAAGCTGAAGGTTTGATTTACGTTCTTGTATGTTATGGTGTTGTTATTAACGCAATCACGGTCGCATGCACTGATATCAGTGCAACACGATTGTGAAATGAGTCGTATGCGTTCATTTTAGTGCGTTTTTTCAACTTTTTATTTTGCCGAGCAGAGCTTCAATACTATTTGCGCTCGTTCGTTAGCTTCCACAATACGTCTGGTTTAAGACTCATCGTGCAAGGAAAGCAATTTTCTGCATGTGAAAAATAAAAAGGGTAAAGCTGTCGGCGTTGATCAATCTCCAAGGGGTGCACCATGCGTTCAGCTTCATCAAGCATCGTTTGGAGGTGATTGAATGTATATCTAGCCTTTAAAATGACTGGCGGTGGCCTTCCGATGTATCGAGTCAGTGCTGCTATCCTCCCAGACAGGTGAGCTACCAATTTACCGACGTCGGAAAGATGGAAGGCTTGATGAACTCGAGGCGCAAAATCGAATTCGTGTGTTGTTGTAACGCCTCTAACCACTGTGCTGCACGTGCCTTTTCTGCACATAATTTGCTAAAACTATCTTTCTTGGGATTTTATTAATTCCCCCACAGAGGCTGTTGTGGATGGGGACGGTCCTGAGGTGTGCCGACTTAGGTGCGCGCAGTGCGCGCTCAATCTGCTATCACATATTACATCCTTAGAAATATTACCGGTTCTCAACTATGCCATGTGTAAAGCTGTGTACGGAACATTTTTCATCATCCACGGAAGTCACAAATGTTCTCGAAAGATAGAAGAGTACACGCCTGAATAGAGGATAAGTAAATCGTTAAAAGAGGCTGCGGAAATAACCGGAAAAACACGTGAGAAATCCTCATTATGATTCATAATTCAAGAAAAGGGAGGTGTTTGGGGCTCAGTGGACCCTACATCTAAAGTTTAGTGCTTGTTGTGCTATGTGAAAGACTGCACATATTCCCATATTTTCCTATAATTTAAGATCACAAATGAGTTAGTTTTCGATGCGAACGACATTCCCATTATGATGAGTTTCTCTTGTTCGAAGGACACGAAGAGCATGGTATTTTTCGTTCAAGTGTTTTGTAGAAAAATCTAGGGTGGATTGTACTTATTAACTAGAATCTAGTTGCGAACTGTTGACGTACGATGTACGTTGGCCACTTGGTTTTCGACACGCTGGTGCATGCGATGTTTTGAACTTCGATTATTAAAATAGTGCTTCATTTCCATTAGTATTTTTGAAAGAGCAGTGACGTTGGTTGCTTTGAACACATCATGTTCCATCTCGTGGCGCTGTAGTCCACTGGTGGACGTCTACGTCCGTTATTGGTAGGAACGCTTTTAGAATTACAAATCTTGGAGGCGGTTCTTAATCGTTATGAAGGACTACGACGTTCTCTCATTATATTTGTTGCAGTATAGTTCCTGTGCCTGTGTGTTAATCTTCAGTGGTTTTCTTTGGGTTAAAATCCCCGTTGGTCCACACCATCTCAGTTGTAGGCCTACAATCCAGTCTGTTAAAAGTTCTAAGGATTCGCTATACATAGCCAAACTTATGTTGATGAATACTTCAACTCCGAATAGTTTTCTATTCCCTCCTCTTCTAATAATACTTTTAATACAGCATGCATCATATTCTCATACAGAAATCAAATGAATGAACACTCTATTTAAACGAGCTCTAGACGAAGGAGTATTCTTCTGTATTAACTCGTATCTTGATGGAAAACGTTATTTTGGTTCGCATTCAATCTTGTGTACATCACTAAGGGCATGCTACATAGCTTAGCGCTTAATCGACTCGATATCTTTCATGCGAGGGAGATTATTGGAAAAGTTTTTTCAGTGGGTTTTTAAACGTTTATTTCAGTTCAATTTGATACCCATTAGTGAAGTAACTCTACGGTTAACGTATGGGCATATACACCTGGAGTTCATCATGCTTTCTGGAGAGAAGGTAGCCATCCGAGACAGCTCACGTAACAAACCGTCCTGCGCTGGTCTTCATCAATTTTTTGAACTGATATCAAAGTTAGTTGATTGTGACGAATTAGTAAATTTTCTGTAAATTAATAGTTACTTTTCCATAAATATTCCGTGCTATTACTGGAAGATTAATCGTCGTAACTTCTCGTATTACGTTTATATCTACTACAATGGGAACCATTGTATATCAGATATGACTTATATGTCTCCTAGCGTTTCTGCTGGCATGAGTTGCATATGACTTACCTCATAAGTTACCCACGAATTAGATATCGTCGCAAGCAGCCGTCACACGAAATTAGGCGTTGTCCACGATATGCTTAACCTGCTGAGAAGATTAGGTTTTTTTCTACTAGTGTATCCAATGTTTGTCCAATTTTCGGTTGATGTCAATGTTTCTAATAAGCTTAGTGGAATATATACCGAAATGTTACACATCCTAAAAATAGAAACTATTGAACAGAATAATTAAATGAAGAAAGAGTTAATAGAAAGGGAGTAAGACGTTGGGTGTTTACTAGCGATTAGAACAAAGAAGCAATATTTAACTAGTAGTCGTTCATTGAATAGTGGGGACTTGCATAATTTTACGTAGATTTTCTGGCCACGTACCAACGATGATCTCTAATAATTTCTTTTATTCTTGATAAACCAATGTGTACCTTATTTCATTGATAAGGTAACACGAGATTCTTACCGAGATCTGTAACAATCTCGTGCTAGCTTGTCAATAAAATGAGCTACATTGGTCATTTAGAGCGAGGTTTAATGAAAGTCGGTTTACAATGATGTAAACCAATGTATAGTTAGTTCATTTGTAAAGGGTACATAAACGTAGATTACGTATTCGCGTTTTTTGCTCCATACAGATGCTACTTCGAAGCGTCTCAGTAGTCTTCCAAGTCCATTTTTGGTTGTTCTGCTAGAATGTTACCTTCCTCTGTAGTATTTTAAAGTGTACTTCGAAACGTTTTTTTTTAAACCATTGCGAAATTGCTTCGAGCAATATGAGAAGTACACCTTTTTTCGATACTTCACAGCTTTTCAAAATATTTGGTTTTAGTTATTAAGGTGGTCCTTACAAAGTTTTGGATTGCTGCTCCCTTTCCAATTTCTTTTTAAGGAATCATTGGGATTACTCCACTTTGTACTTCGATCATAAAAATAGAACGTGCTAGAAAATACGATTTGACGAAGCGCTAATATCAGTTGATAAATGCATCTGACCAACATTTCATTGCTTGTTTTCTTCGAGATTTCACAGCTCCATGTCTGCTAAAATGTTCTGTTTATGTATTTATTTCTTTTCTTTGGATTTCCATGGTTATTTCGATGATTTAGTTTCAAAGTCCATTGTGATGATTTTTATACTCCTATTGAGGAAACACGAGGTGTTATTTTGTTCTTTGTTACGATAAAGCTGACGGGATCTTCAGTGGATCTCAACTTCCTCAGGACCTGAAAAGTTCAAGTTGACTATTTTATTCCTGTGCGGGGATGGCAACTGCTACTTAAAAATCTTCCCCGTCATGTCTTTGTGTCCTATGTTCTTTTTGCGGTGCACTTGGTTACCTTTGGAGTTACTTGGTTTAAGTTTACTGGCTAGTTCTTTTACACGGGCTCAAAGTGGCAAATCTATCCGTTTCGCCAACGTATTCGCCCTCGCACGCTTTACATGAGATCAGATAAAACGTACCCGCTCTCATGCAATTATCATATCTACCTTGCTTTCAACTGTGATTGTGATTTCAACTACAGCCATAGCTTAACTGGGTTCTATGCCGATTTGCGCTCCCCAGATCAACCCCGCTGACAGGTGATTGCTGTGGCAAAAAGATCGATAGAAATAGCTGAGAGACGTGCGAAACAAAGGACCCGCATGGTGTGGTGGTGAACGCGTTACTCCCCGGAAAGGATAATAGCGCGTTCGTTCCCCACCATAAACACCTGCGGTCCAGAGTTTTTTGCAAATATCTCAGCAACGTTGTGGTTATCATATCTACCGTTGGGTATATTATACCATTTTGCGTTGTACATAGACGGTCATACAGGCGATTGCGATTTTTTTTTCATCGTGGAGTGATTGTTGGTCTGTGGTATCTTATAACACTCAAATATTAGCACATACTTTTACCATTTCCGATTTATTGTTCTGGTTTAGTGGCGCTTCGAAATCATGTAAAGGAAATGAGTCTCAGGTCTATTCGAGTTCTCCAATTCAACCTGCATCTGTACCGAGTGAAGTAAATCTTATTCTCTGTTCGTTTCTTTCGTGATCATTTCTAACATTTATTCTTAATTTTCAACAGAACTTTTCTTTTTAGATAGTGAGTGCTTCTCCAGCTGGCACACCTTTGTCGGCTTGCCTTTCTGTTCCACCGAATCCTGATGCCGCTACAGTTTCACCGGCAACCGAGGTTTCTGCTGAACTTGAAACGTCTTCTACCCCTGTTATCATTGATCACGAAACACTCCGTCGTGCCTTTGTGTTCGTCAAGTCTCGTCAGTTATTTGTTTTTATAAACGTCACAATAGATGTATATTTATTATTTCTAGCTTGCTCCAACCTCCTTTGTGCCCCTATCGATGACTATCTTTCGGGACTTTGCTTTATTCGGAAGCTTACATTAGCGTTTGAGGCACAAATGCGAAATCAATCCGCGGGTCGCCTGGTCCTCAACGAGATGAAATGTGGATTGCATTTTGCAAGTTTTTGGTTATTCAATTGCACATTCTTTGTATCTTGTGTAAATGAGAAACTAAGCTTCCTCTGTACAGGTTCGTGTCTCCGTTCCTGTGGTCGTTCCACCTGCGACACAACGTGGTGATTCTTCAGCACCACAAACTCCTCAACAAATGAGTGGTCTCGTCTTTTTCAATTTCCATTTGGATCGACACACTCTGATTCTAAAGTTGAGCGTCGAATATTGTGAGTCGTTGAATAGTTATTTGAACGATGAAACTTTTGGTACTGGTCAATCTTAAAGGGACCTGTTCCTTCGACACTATTCAAGAAAGTAGTGGTGATTGAATATATATTAGTCGTCTACAATCACCTGAGATGACCTTTCGGTAAAATTTAGAAAGTGATTTTATTCGCTTAGAAAATTTGGTACAAATTTGCTGACCCCATAAGGATGGAAGGCTTGCTTTGCTCAGGGCTTTATGCGAACCAATGACCCTGTTTGTGTTGTTTATTGCAGACGATTTTTAACAAATTCGCTGCACGTGCTTTTTCCTAACTACTTAGATCAATGTTTTTTTTTTTATTATGTCGCTGTTTTATTTGGCTTTTCGTTTCAGCATATTCAGCGCGTTTCCTTTTTTTCGATAACTACCAATAATTTTCTGGTAATTCGACTACTTGAAGAGTTCAGAACGTGAGACACTTATAAAAGAGGGACTGCCCTGTCTACGTATATAAACGATTTTTGTTTTCCCAGGTGTTCTTTGAGCTTAACGTTTTTCCCAATTGTTTTGCTATTCGAAATACTAGGTTAAGAGAACTGGTTCCTTGGATCATACGAGGTTGGTCCAAAGAAAAAACTTATTCGGCTAACGTTTTAACATCTTCATCGTTTTCACAGCCGGACTGATTCGAGTTGATAGTCTACAGACGGTCGTCTTCGCGATGTGGTTGCTCGTTTTAGCACCGAGTCGAATCTAGTGACGTGGACCACCACTCGAATGAAAATCTCACTAGGTAGTCCCGATTTTTAGACATACATTACCGCCAAATAGGCGGAAAACACCAGCGATGCACTGGCGAACGTCGTTTTGTCCTGTACAGCGAAAATCCTCATGTTAGGTACTTTTGTGTTGCGGAATATGTGTCTCGCGGCAAAGAAGAAGTGACAGAATGTGTTTTGCACCTCTAGAAAATCAGAATTTCATCTTGTTAAAATACAAAACCTCATATCTCGTCAAATATCTGTAAATCCAGTTGTTCTTACTTAATTAACAAAGTTTGATAAGGGTTCAATGTTGGTCTAAAGTTGAAGGAAGCCATAATTTCCGCATTAAATGGATAGTGCTCAATGAATATCGAAGGTTATCTTAATCTGCTTTGTTGCTTGTTATCACTATCGACGTTTAAGTTCAATGGGTACCAAATTTGGCTTGTCGTTTAACAGTATGTCAGCTGAATCCTCCATAGTATTTTAGCGAAAAATTCGCCCCCCTCAAGTGATATAGCGACTTTGGAAAGATATTTCGAGCAAGTGGTTTGCCGGTTGAATAACGAGCTTGCTGTTTTCTCGTTTATTAACCTTTGTCGAATAGTTGCCAACGGTGCAATATCGGGAATCGTTCAAGTTATGAATGCTCAAATGGTGGGTTTTAGTTGTAAACCTCTGCTAAAAGAAGAAGAGCCAGTTAGAGTGGAAATTGTTAAACGTCTTTTTTGTTTTTAGGATCCATCTCCTTCATTGTATTGGAATGTTTCTATCCAGCTAGTCTGTCTGGCTAGGGAGCAGGCGAATGCAAACACGCGGCGCTATCAGACAGGAACTGTTTTCGATGCAAACAACATTAATGTTCTTATTTTGGTTAGTATACCACATGTCAGAGGAAGGTAATTCAAACTTCTACTCCTCATCGGTATTCCAGATTTGTTTTCGACCAAGTCGGATATTCTGTCCGCGAAGTAATGAAAAACATCTCCTCAGGATCATCTATAACATGCAAACGTAAGTTTATTCCAAAAGCTTTTTGAGTGGATATTCGTTTTTACGGGGGAGGGAGGATCAGCCGAGGTAAACTGTTGTACTTAGTTTTTTTACCGATTGTTTGTCTTGACCCAATTCTACCATTCTGCCAAAAAATCCCTTTTTATCTAACTTATCTAGTTCATCGGGGGATTGCACAGTGGTAGTGACGTCGATCATCACGAAAATGGTGCTGGTTCGTTCCTGCCTCAGACCCACCAAACCCCCGTCCCTGTGGGGTGACGAAATTGGTACTGACTTTGTCCAGGAGCAGTCACTTTCTGCAATACAATCGGGAATGCTCCAGCTCGACCATCTCAGAACTCTAAGGAGAGTCGACTCGACCAGCATTCTATAGCGTTTATTATGGAAGGAAATTCCTCAAGCAGCAGCCGAAGCCAGAGTAAAGTTAGAAGATGTTCGTATATGGTGGATGCGTGGAAACGAATGTGGAAAGTGCTAGGATCTGCACAGTAGTCGTGAAGACGGGTCGTATAAAATAAAAAGAAATATTTGGTTCATCACTGCGTGCATTGTCTTCAATTTGGACATTAACAAAAACTTGATGAGCCTTTATCCATGATAGGGACATTCACAATCAGATCTCAGACATCAACCAAAATTAATCCACGAAGATATCCTGGGCCTTTGCATACAAGAAGTCCATTAACACCTCTCATCGATATATGCTGATATATAACATATATGAAGTACTGTCAAACATTTTGAAAACGACATTGAGCATTTCATTGCTTTCCCGTCGCCTAATTTCTTGATGAAGAACTTCGTGCAGACGCTCACATGTTGAAAATACAAATAGATAAGGGCGCGTACAGCGCAGTGGTTGGGGGCCCCTCTGCGATCCGATAGTTTTTCTTCGTATCCCATTGTTATCCTTCTGCAAGAATTTCCTCAATAGTTCGAATACGTTGCTAGCTTTGTTATATGTGTTAGTGTCGGATCCTGCTCCAGTTTTCTTATCAAGAAAATCGGTTGTGATGTTGTCTGGTCTTCGGGCTGTGGCAAATTGCTGTAGAATTTTTCCTTTATTATTATTGATATGGACTTTGTGATCGAGAAAGTGAGGCACGTTCAGCAGTTTGAGAGTTATTTGCCACTCATTTCGCACAAAAGGTTTTCATGCACGTTTCTTTTTATTCTTAAGAGATTACAAGTTTTTGCCAGTTTATAGCTGCTTCTAATTTTCGTGCAGCAGGTGCAGTGGAAGGATCAAATACAGAGGATGGTACTATTATGTCAAGAATACATATATTCTATTTGTTAAGAATATCATCGACCTTATGTTGCACATTTTGCGATTCCCTTGTTCAGTGGTGGTTTTCTCCTTCTCAAAAAAAGAAATAAAATGAAAGTAACGCACCACAAGGAGGGGTATAGCAATACGATTTATATTCTTCTTTCTATGTTACGCGATGATCCTGCATTCTGTTTCAGCGAACTGATTTTCCTTTTCTGGTCATGAATGTTTAAACCCTTGAGAACAGTATTCTTCGCAAATCGTTCTCCATGAGAAAGCTAAACGTTTTCTATGGCGCGTAGTAGGCGTAGTTTTGATTCGACTCAACTCGAAATTTCAACTTCTTTCTCTGGTTTATTGACTTTCGATAGAAACGCTTTGTGTACGAAATACTGAAGGTTGTTTAGTTGGGTCAGAGGTGTTTATCCTCGGCTTCCTGGTAGGCTTTGTGGGTCATCGTCATATGACGTTTTTTCCCTGTTGGCGGCTATTCGTGGCATGGGCAGATCCTCAGATGTGTGGAAATTCCGCTCTTTCGCAACCTAGTTGACCGTGTCGGTGAATGCAGGCTAGGTTTTTTCAAAGGTTTTCCTAATTTTAGCTTATCATTTGCTGCCTATTCTTTTTAACGGCAGGGTGTATTGCGAAATATAACTTTCAATGATACTGAGGTGTTTGCAAAACTCCGGACCGCAGGTGTTTGCGGTGGGGTGCGGTTTGCGTAAACACCTGCGGTCCGGAGTTTTGCAAATATCTCAGCATCATTGAAAGGTTTTCGTAATATTTAATTATTTACGGAGTTGTGTTTCATCTAGGTTCGAACACAGTGATTGTCATAATCGACAATTCAGGAATTCTATCAAGCAACATGGTACAGAAGACGAGTCTATGGTGTCCATTCTTATGGCTTGTTCCCAAGAGGCAGCGAGAACCGGCGAATGTCCACTTTGGCCGGCGATTCGACAATGTCTCGATAAGTATGATTTCTTAATGATATTTACATTAATCCGAAGATTTTATAACTTCCTCTCTTACTTTGTATGTTTGCCTCTTTGTCTGTCTATCTACCTGTCTCTATCTCTATCTCTGTCTTAGTTTTCCATTAGTCAATCTTATCCTTTTTCATTTGCAAGCCTCTTTAATTCGATCTTTCTCAAGTAGCACAATATTTAGGGTGTCATCAGCAAATGTCGCAGGCATGCCAGCATCAGTCGGATACATGCCTGGGTCAGTGGGAGGTCCAGTATCGGTTGGGCCAATTGGATCCGTTGGAACTGGTCATAATCCGGGCTCTATTGTTAATCCAGGGTCAAACACGTAGATTTATATCGTAGTGGATTTTTCTCGTTCAGTGTGGAGAACAGTACACTGTATTAATTGAGAATTGAAAATTTTGAATGTGATGACGACTTCTGGTTCATCGTATTCGTACCAGGCTTCCTTTGATGTAGTTTAATATTCTGCATTATTTAAGTCTTCATAGCAACACCATACCTCTTTATCACGTTTCCTGACTTTCTATTTTACGTGTTACAGTTGATATGACGTTCAGATCTCTTGATTAAGCGAGCACTGTCGCGGCAACCTCTCCTATCTTAGAAAACCATACCTGTCAGCTGTCGTTAAGTTTCACCGCCATCGGCAGATAACGGCATAGAAGTTCCTAGTTAAATGACGAGTACAAGAAACATCGTTAAATGCTGATGGTGGGGAGCTCATTACTAAGATATTATCCTGCTATTTTTTTCAACTTGACTGTTTTCATCGTTTTGATTTTGTTTATGGCCACAACAGTTTCACCAGCGGCACATTAACAGTTCTATATTGGATACTAATATAGTCTGTAAAGCCAGAAATGATTATGAGTAGTCATTTCTTGCTCCTCTGTTTACCATTAGTTGAATTCTATGTGCAAGTGATGATATTAGCCGAATTATTTGAGCTGTTTAGAATTGTTGCGGCCTGCATCCTCGTTTTCGCCACCGTTTTTCTAGGGGACGAGCTATGGTAGTTGCGTTCCCATCTTATTGTTTCTACGAACAATTTAATGAACAGATGCAAATTCTTCGTTTTCTCATAAGTCGTTATGGATTACGGTGACGCTTGTAACACACTGCTTGAGTACTCTGCAAATGCACACAGGAACTCGATCATCGCTTCGGTTTTGCCCCTCAAGCTCACCATCTTTCCATCCCTTTTGGAACGGTAGATTGTAACCAGACTTGCTTTGGAGGATTAGTTTTTTAATGTGGTGTATTTGTGGGACACAACAAGTCATTGTAATGGGCCAATTGTGGGGTTTGATTCTGTTGTAGTAGTTTTTGAAGGGATGGTCTGATCACAACAAAGGGAACAGGTACGGAAGCATCGCAGTATATATTGCATTCTTCTTTGACGATCACTCAATTTGAGTATAGTATTCAATATTTCCTCATTGCACAATTTTTTAGACGACTGCGGAAGTATTCAATTGTCTTTTGTTCTTTGACAATAGCAGTGGTTTTACAGCTTGTATTTGAATCGTGTCATCGTGTGGAGGAGCGATAATTGACTGAATTAGAAGAGAAACTATTTTCTACCGCAGAGATATGGTTTTGGTTTTCGCACGATGTGTAGCATTAGACCTTAGCGTAGAACAACTACGGTTCTCCTCCATGAGAACAGAAGGGCGATTCATGCTGTTATTACAATCATATTTTTTATCCAAATCCTTCAAACTATGTTCGTTTTCGCTGAGTGTACCCAATTCTTCGACAGAAAATCCGTAAGAAGAATGCTTATCATAAATTATTACCTTTATTTGATCGTAGAAAAGCGTTTAACGTGATCTGTTCACCTGTACACGAAAGTAGCTAGCAATTGGTGCCAGTGACCTTCTTTCCGCATGTAGGTTTGGGATCATACGGATGGGCAACCGACAAACACTGCGCTAGCAACCTTTTCTGACGTCCCATTTAACGGATAATAGGACAGTCGCCATTTTGGTTATGCATGCTACTAATTATGATTGGCTTCTTCCGCAAAGGATCACATCATTATTGATGTCTAGGAGCATGAAGATCGGTGCAGAAGAGGGTCGTCTGGTGTTGTCGATGCAGAACAGGAAGCATTTTCTGCGGAATATCGTGGATTTGTTATCTTGGTCCAGTACCAATGACCTCAGTCATAATGAAGAGATTTGATTACCACACACCGCATGTCTCACCCATCCTCACCAATAGAGAGGATGAGCCAGTAATTGAGCTGTTCTTCACAGGCCAGTTACTGGCTCAAGAAATAAGTTCTTCCTATTGTGAGGAAAGTGTAAGTGTAAAGGGCAGGTCACTTAAGAAATTGGACCTTCCAATATGTGTCGAATTTGCTCTGGTTTGCGCATGCCTCTTTAGTAGGTCTTTAACTGCCCCACTTTTGATTCTCACAAAGAAGTTTTGGATGAAGATATGTCACTTTTCGTAATATATTGTAATTATGTTTTCTAATTATTTATGAACCCAATTTCGTAGGAAATGGTTTGCTACATTATATGCTGTTCATTTGAGGAGATGAGGGAAGAGTACTTAGTTAAGATATCGTAGATTTCAGAATCGTAGATTTTGTTTTACACAAGAATAGCTCGGCTATAAATGTCTCGATTAAACCCTTAACACTTTACATCGTTCCCAGGAACGACTTTCTTTTAACCTCGGAATTGGATTATGAATGCGTCGTTTTCCTGTTCAGCTATCGCGAGGTTCTTAAACAGCCATACAACAGTAGTTGACGTTTCGGCAATATCGCCTTCTTCAGAGCCTGGAAGGGCATGCTGATATACAATCTACTAGGCCAAACGCTTCAATAACACTTACAAAAAAACGAAAGACTCTTTGGTAATTACATGATCAACAGCTTTTCGAGAAACTCACCGCTTTTACATGACTCCTAATGAGGAAGTTTAGAACAGCTGATTATAGTCGCATATGATTTTGTTCGTATTTTTTTGAGCAAACGCGAGATGTTATTGTTCTTTGTTCACGATTAGGCTGACGTTTCGGCGAATTTCGCCTTCTTCAGAGCC